CCATTGAATTTCTCCGATTTTTCACCATGATTAACCGGAACCGTAAGGGTATGGCCAGTTGTTTGACTCACAACATGACTTGGCAATCTAGCCACAGTCTGAGTCACAACAGAACTTGGCCCTTGAGCCATAGCAGAGCCTACAACCTGATTTTCATTAGCCACAGCTTGGGTTACATCCATGTTTGTTGAATCGATTGCTATTTCTGAAATGAAACAAAATATTAGTTCATTTCAAAAATCTGTTTTAAGCTTGTAGGAAAATATAATAACTAGCGAACTAATACAGACCAACACCGAAGAAATAGAATTACAACAAAATAGAACAATAATATAAAGAAAAAAAAATGAACTTTTAACCCGAGACCTGTGTACACACGAAGTTTCCTTAAAACAGATTCGCCCCCTCACCGTACGTGCTTCAGGTATAAATTGAGCATCTGCTTCCCAGGATACAACGGTGGAACAGTGGAATCTGAGCACCACAGACTTTACTCCCACGAACTGAGTTAGAGCTCGAACAATATCACCACCAGACTCAAAACAGAAACGAAACCAGAGACAAAACCCGAACTGTATGCAGATGAATATTCAGATGAATTATTGTATAGAAAATTGGGAAAAACCGAGGTACATATAGACTTTGAATCTTGTAATTTGTCCACTTACTTCATGGCAATTATAACAGGAGTTTTAGGAGTTTCAACTGTTTCAGAAAATGAAAAATTAGTCGAAAAATAAAATAAAATGTGGCAAAACGTATGCTCTTCTAAGGGGCCAATTTTTGGTCAATCCGGTCCGACATTCGTGTACTCACACAAGTTCAAGGTCTGATACCTATTTTGATATGTGATTTGCACCCCCCTGCGCGCGCACGTGGAGAGCCTCTATGCTACACATGATTTCACCATTCTAAAGTGCAATCCTTTATAAAGTGGTTTTAGTTTCCATGCACTTCCTATGTGGGACAAACTTAATTTTTAGTTTTCCCACCAACATACTCCTTTCACGTGGCATACTTTGAGCTTCAATTTCTCATTCAACCGAGCATCATTTTTGACAAGTATATGATTTCGATGAACTCACGGAGAAGAACACAAATCAACTTTCATCTTCCAAAATAGCCAAATGGGTCCCGCTCAAAATTTGTGCCAAAGTCACCCACTAACTCAATTTATTCCAACAACAACAATATTTAATAGAAATCAACCCGAATATCAACTTAAACATGATTTATTTGAATCTAATTGTATCCCGCATCACTAAGCTAAACCTTATTATATGGATTTATAACCAATAGAACACTTCACTTTACAAGTCAGTTTTAAATGTGAATTCTACCATGTGGTCGTAACATTTAAATTCGGATTTAAAGATTCAGTGATAGAAGTAGAAACTTCTGCATCTGTTTGTACAATGGTAGACTTCTGAGTTTGACTTTCACTTCAACTTCGATTTTGCCATTCTTGGTTTAAGCCTTTTATGGTTTTGAACCTTACATCATTGCCTTCGTGGGGTGCATCTGGAATGTCCATATGTCCTTCGAGCATTTGGACAACCTCGGACATGGTAGGCCTAACAGATGCAGTTGAATTTGTGCAGAGAACAGCTACTTTTGCCGTCCTTTCTACTTCTTCTGGGTTCACCTGAGAACCCAGCCTTTTGTCGAGAAGTTTGTCTATGTAATTAGTTTCTTGCAAGTGACAAGCCTGCAATACAATTTTTTCAAGACATTAGATGGTTTCGATAAGGGAAAAAACGAAAGTTGGCTACAATTATGAATGTCTGCATGCAAATTTTTGGTCTAAATAACGAGTGGGGGTGTCAAATAGGTCAGGCTGTCGTGATTATTGACAAGCTGCGCCAAGCTCATTTTGCCAAATTTATTATGTCAGTCTCGACCTGCCTTCAAAATGAAAGGTGGTCGAGCCTGGTGCAGTTTTTGCTGCGGGCCAGCAGGGCATGGACAGCCCGATCCTTTTGACATCCCCAATAACAAGGGAAGTGCAATTAAGGGGGTGTTTTGAGCCCAGTTATTTTTGAAGAATGTATTTTGGAATAATATAATGATGGAGAATGTGTAGTTAAAAAAGAAGAATTTTTTTTTGATTTGCGTGTAATATTATTTTAATGAAAAACTTGTGGTTGAAAAGAAAAGAGAGAAAAACGTATTTTGGGAAAAATGGAAATCAAACATCCTCTAAGTGAAGAGCCGAAGGATTATTACCATATCCAATAGGCAAGTGTAATTACTACTTGGCATGTATGTGTTGTTGCTCTTGCCACTGACAATTTCCAAAAGCACGACTCCAAAGCTATAAACATCTGCTTTATCGGTCAGATGTCCCCATAGTGCATATTCCGGTGCCATATAACCTCTACAATCAAGATGAGAAACTACCGAGTTGGAGCATGCCAAGGTACAAGGGTTGTAAAGAATTATCCAATAAACCCTTTTATAAACCAGTTGAACTCACATTGTTCCCGCAACTCGGGTGATAATATGGGTCTTTTCTTCTTCATTAAGCCTAGCCAATCCAAAATCCGATATTTTAGGGTTTAGATTTCCATCAAGCAGAACATTAGATGCTTTGATATCTCTGTGAACAATTTTCAGCCTTGATTCTTCATGAAGAAATGCTAATCCTCTAGCAATTCCAAGACAAATCTTGAACCTTGTTGGCCAGTCCAGCATCAACTGACTTTCCTCTGAACCTGAATTTTGCAGCCAGACCAATATGGGCATGTTTAGTACTATCATATTAGGTATCCAGATTGGACAGTTGAATCAACAAAATTTCAACTGTTTTCTTTAATACTGTCTAATAATGCACCGTACACCCTAGCAAAAAAAGCTATAAAACCAACAAACAGAAAATTGAAAAAGATGTCACGTGTAAGAAAAATTACCAAACAAAACATGGGCCAAACTATTGTTTTCCATGTACTCGTATAAAAGTATCAATTGGTCTCCTTCAATACAACATCCATGAAGCTTCACGAGGTTTGGGTGTTGCAAACAAGAAATCATGCCAATCTCATTCAAAAATTCACGATTTCCTTGCCTTGATTTAGAGGAGAGCTGCTTTACGGCAGTAACAGTACCATCAGATAATTGACCCTGTGCCAGTTCTTCCATTAGAAAACCTATGCATCAGAAATGAAGGAAATAATGCTCTCTAAACAATAAATACCTTGTACAC